TTGACTCAGCATAGAGCTCAATACAACATACAAACAAGGCAGGAAAGAGTGGGCAGCCCTGCCTGACTCGGGTTTGATCAGGAAGCTTTCTGATTCCCACCCATTGATTGAGACTGCACTAACAATGTTGGTATAGAGCAGTCGGATCCAATTACAGATTCCCTCCCCAAAGTCCATTTTGGAGAGCATGTCCCACATGCATGTGTGCAATATCCTGTTGAAGGCCTTCTGGTTCAGGCTTGATGAGGCATCCATCCACCTCCCTGTCCTGCATGTAGGCAATCATTTCCTTGAGGAGCGTGAGTCTCAGAAATCGTCCTGCCTGGTACAGCACAGGTTTGGTCAGGGCAAATCACTGATCCCAGAGCAGACCTGACCCAATTGGCAATGACCTTGGACAGGATTTTATAGTCTGCATTCAGCAATGATATTGGCTGCCAATTCCTAATTTCCTCCCCCACCCCCTTCTGCTTGTAGATGAGGGTGATGATGCCTTTCCTCATGGGTTCAGTCATGGTACCTGCCAGAAGCATACTGTCATACATCTTCATCAGGTCCTGGCCAATCAAATCCCACAGAGCTGAATACAAGTCAGCCGGTAAGTGGAGACTTCTGGGAGTTTTATTTTTTTCTGAGGACCTGAGGGCCTTGGTCAGCTCATCCAGAGATAACGATTGGTCCAGCCTGTCCCGCGTGCTGTAGACTAAGACTTCCGTGATAGAGGACAGGAACAACTGGGAGGCCGCGCTGTCTGTGGGCTTCATGTTATATAGTCTGGCATAAAAGGATTTGCTGATACTCAGGATGTCAAACTGAGATGACGTTACCAAACCATCTTCTTTCAGGCTGCTGAGCACAGAGCTCTCCTTGTGCACCTTCTGGAAGAAGAAATGCCAGCACGTTTCATCCTGCTCCACAGCATGATCCTGGGCCAGAAGATTATCTTGTAGGCCTCTGAGGGAAAGAGCAGGCCTTGTTGGCTCTTCACCTCCTTGAGATCGTCAGTGACATCGACCCCATCGTCCACAGCTGGAGTAAGTTCTGCATGGTTTCCTAGAGTTTGGACAGTTTTCCCTGCCTCTCTCTTGCATTCTGAACACCTTTCAGGATAAAGAATCTCTTGATGTTCCCCTTGACTATTTCCCACCAGTCTGCTGGAGACTCAAAGAGGGGCTTCACAGTTCTCCAACCTATATAATCCCTTTTGAACTCCTCAGTGTTTTCTGGAATCAACAATTTCATGTTTAGCTTCCACGTTCCCTTGCCAGATGCTGGTCACCCTCTATGTGACAGTCAGCCAGTAGGAGGCAGCGGTCAGAGAAGAGCACTACTTGACCGGTGGATCTGACCGAGAACATGAGGGACGCAAACAGGAAATCTGTCATTGAACAGATAGACCCATCTGGCCATGGCCAAGTGTACCTATGCTGCAATTCATCTGCAGGGGTGCTGAAGACGTCATGCAGCTTGGTGACTTTAACTGTTTCCTTCAGGAATCTGGATGTGGAGTCCATTTGCATCGATGATGCAGTTGAAGTCTCCAGCCAAAATGACCAGCTTGGATGTCGCCAGCAGCAGTGGAAGCTGCTACAGAACAGCCAGCCGCTCACTCTGTACCACCGGGGCGTACACATCAATTAGTCTCAGGGTAGCTTTTCTGTACATAACTTCTGCTACAAGGAGGTGCCGCCCACCACCTCTTTAACGTCGGTGATGGTGAAGTTGCCTCCTCGCAGCAGAATACCCAGGCTGGGGGAACAGCTATTGTTTCCCCCTGACTAAATTGAAGGCTCATGGGCTCATAAATTTGACCATCTCCTGTAGCTGCTGAGATATGGTATCCCAGACTCCTACAGAAACAGGAGGTCTGCTTTGACGTTGACCAGGTAAACCAACATGGAAACACATTGCGTAGTAGATTGAACACTGAACATTAGCACTAACACTGAAGAAGAGTCCCAACCCAAAACATCAACTTTCTTGCTCCTCTGATGCTGCCTGGCCTGCTGAGTTCCTCCAGCTCCGCACTGTGTTGACTCTGACTCCAGCATCTGCAGTTCTTAGTATCTCTGAGTGATTTATAACCCCACTGCGAAGCCTCTTCTAAGGATGCCTACCTTGAAGAAGTTGTCCTCTTCCCTCCAAAAAGACCTCAGTGGATCTGTCTCCCACTGCAACCGTTTGGTAATCTCCTCTGCCCTGAAACTCTTCGATCGTATACTTAAACAAACCCGGTACTATAGTCACATCTTCTTTCTTAGTACCTGCCTACGCAGCTGGATCATCCCCAATGGACTCCAAACAACATTCAGGCCATCCCAACTTGGCCACAACCATGACAACTTCTACCTACAGAGCATCCAGAGCCTCCAAAAACGGTTTTCTGTACGGATCCTCAATTACACGCTCTCAGCAATGCACTGGCATCTACGGATCCTCAATTACATGCTCTCAATGCGCCGGCATGTTCTGCAACCTTACCCCAGCTCAGAGCCTCCCTCTCTCAGACCTGCAAAGGACCTCTTCTGTTTCTCATTATGTGCAGGATCCATTTTTCTGAAGAAGAGTCCCGACCTAAAACATCAACTTTCCTGCTTCTCTGATGCTGCCTGGCCTGCTGTGTTCCTCCAGTTCCACATTATGTTGTCTCTAACTCTAGCATTTGCAATTCTTGCTATCTCTGCATGTTAATACTTGCAATTTTAATACCCATTCTAAATGTTTATAGAATTATCCAATTTCTATTCACTCACGGTCTTGTCGCTGGGGACTCCCTGCATCCCTGTGGTGGGGGCAAACTGTTGGGCGCTCTCTGCATTGAGGTAGCTGTGCTGTTACTCCCTGGAGGGATTACCCATCACTGGTGTTGTCAGGGTCCAGCTCTGAGTCTTGTCTGGAATTGTGGTGTGGTGAGTACCCCCTGGTTGTCACCAGCTAGAGTTTGGGCTCTACCGGGCCTCTCGGGGAGTCCAGTGTTTCAGTGTTGGTGGTGCTCCTCTCCTTTTCCCCCGTGGTGCTTTGCCTCTATTTTTGTTGATGGCTATCCCTCTGCACATCTTCATCATCAGGGGAGCTGTTAGTGAAGCCATCATGCAGCTGCCTCTTTCTGTTTTGCTGTGGGGCTTTGTGGTCTTGATGTATTTGTTCCGGTTGTCTCTCACTATTATGCATTCCCCTGCCTCCTTGGTTTCCTCCTTTTCAGTTGACTCCGTCTATTCAGGTGGAGATTGGGTTGGTTGCTGTGCCTTTTGTTCTGCTCGAGCCTGTCCTTCCTTCTGGGTGCACCGTGTATCAGTTTTCTTGCTGGGAGTTCGCACCTTACTGACCTTTGGGGCTCCACGGCTCAAATTGCCATTGGAACGTAAGTGGTGCTACCGCCACCACCACCACCATCCCCAGTTTTGGACAGGCCTTGTGTGGGTGGCCTGCTTCCCCACAAAGATTGCAGCTCTTGGATTCCTTGCAGTCCTTAGTCAGATGGCCCTCCTATTTGCAGTTCCTGCAGAGGGTTAATTTGCAGACCATTGCCATGTGCCCTGCCCTCCCACAGGTTCGGCACATTCTAGGCTGCCCTGCATACCCTCGACTGCCTCCCATTGCAAAGCTGGAGGGCGAGTGGAAGATGTTCTCACTGCCATCCACCTTCAGGGTCACTTGACCTGCTGCTTGCTGATTCAGATTCCGAGGAGGTCCACTATATCAGTGCTGCCCCCTTCTAGCTGTACGTACCTTCCTAGGAAGGTCAGGTCATCTGCTACTGGGACATGGGGGTTGTCCAAATGGATTGTCACAACCCTGCTCCTCTGTACGGGGAGAATAATGGTGCTGCAGACAGGATGGAGAGGGGTCTCTCTCCTCCTTCTTGAAAACTTTCAGGAGACGCTCACATGGCTTCACACGCCTGAAGGTCATAAAGAAGTAGCCCCCATTGGGAAAATCCTGCAGACAGAAAACTTCTGCTGCTTGTAACCCGCAGCAATCCAAGAGGACTCTCTTCATGAAGTGTGTCCGGTCAACTGGTAGTCCTTCCTCCACCTTCTTCACAGTCACCCTGACTGTATTCTGGACTCCCTGGCCTAGGTCACGGGTGGTTTCTGAGGCCATAGCTCGAATTTGGCTTTTCCCTGAATTGGCGTTAGGCCAAAGCCAGCGTAAAGAACCACCAATAGCAGGTCAGTTCAACCAATGGTCCTCCAACGTCCATAGAGCCCCTAGCCTACTTAATATAACCACACACAGAAATTTCTTCCTAAACTGCTTTGCTACAGTACTGACCACCGGACAATCTTCCCAGACTGCATCACTGTGATGCTGACTTTGGAAAAATTCTTTCCAACTGCTTTACTGCAGTGATGCTTCAGGATACTTCCTGCAATAATAAATACTGATACTGAATGATTCCACATCTATGACAAATATTTTAAAATTGATGTGTTACACATAATGTTATTATAATTATTTGCATACACTGCTGATCATTTTAATTCCAGAGCTATTTTCAAAACCTTAACACTGACTGCAAGGAATAACACTAATAACTCATGAACTGCATCGACGTGCAATTTTATTCACACTATAATTTCCTAATTGATGAAAAGCGCAAAGATGAAATAAGTATTGTAAATCTTCACGGTTATTTAAAAAATTGAATTCACCTCAACATCATCTCAGAACGTTTTATGATTGTTTACTTTAATCTGTCAAATTGACTTCTTAAGTTTAACCAGCGAGATCTTTGTGAAACCAGAATAAAACACTTATAAATTTTCTTTCTGTTTTGATAGAGTTTTATTAGTTTATTCTTATCGTACATGTTAAATTTGTTTCCTGAAACAAACTCTTGGTTTGATGTAATTTTGCAAGTATCAGGAACTGTGCTTCAAACATGCAAATGAATGGTTTCAGCAGAATCTAAATCTCCCAGTGTGTTAACCATTCCTCTCAGATGCCAGAAACAGTTTCCTCTCAGGGATTTTACTTCCTTTCTGGAAATGATTTTAGTCTACAACCATTTTGGAACTTTCTACTTCAGAGTTTCCATCTGCTGTTTGGACAGCCATCTGACTGCGCCCAGAGCACTTCTTCACATCGCAGGTAATTTCATCCAAGTTTCATTCTTGCCTTTTGTTTACTTGCTAATTACCCAGTTTAAGTCTGTGGGGGGACAGAAAGCTTGTGTCCATTATTATATTAGTAAGAGCCTTAGTGCAGACTGACGTGGCACGAACGGCTGTGATAAACTGGAACTCTGTATGTGCAACATTAGTGGTTGTTGCTGACTTCTAATTCCATGCTGCATGCAGGCTTTATGTTTCAAATGCAGGAGAAAAGCAAATGAATGGCATATGGTTTTAAAACCATATGTAAAGTAACAGCTCTCCTGTTTTTGTGAGTTTAGGGGCCCAGTTTGACTTTTAACTGACTTCAGGATTTATGGAGGCCAGAAGGCATAACAGAAATTATAACTGCCTTTTGTTGAAATCAGTCACAGACTCATGAATAGCTCTGTTTGCAGATTCTGCCATGGGTTGTGGGCTACGAAAGCTGGAAGAGCCTGATGATAGTAGCCCTGGCAAAATATTTTCTACTCTGAAGAGACCACAAGTGGAAACAAAGATTGATATTTCATATGAATACCTTTTGCTGGATTTTACTTTAGATATTGGTGAGTTTCATTTGCCTCCTTGCTGTTTCAACAAAATCGTCTTGTTGTTTAATAGCACAGTTAAAAGGTCTACTCGTACTCACTTTGATTAAAAAGCAGTTCATTGTTTAACCAGTTGTTTATACACATCACAGACAGTAGTCTTCAAATTAGCCAACTGTATAGTTGCTCACCAGTAACACTTCCAGAAGTGTGAGAAAAGCAATTGGGACTGAAATTGTTTCGATTATACAAAGTAACTTCAGAACTGGTTCCAACAGCAACCATGTAGTGCAATTTTATAAGTGAGATTTCACACATCATAAATTTAAAGTTTGTGCTGTGTATGCCATTATTTTTCTGTTCACAATACTGCAGACTTCTTTCCAGCAAGCAAACTTTAAAGTTAGCACTCTCAGGTTAAGTTGGCAGTTTGCTGTCCCCAAAGCAAATAAACAACCCCAGCTGGCAGTATTCTGGAAACAGAGCTTCCAGTGTTCATTTTGTTCAAATTCTGATAAGAAGTTGAAATAGTGAACTCATAATTCTTTGAAAACTTTCCAGTCAGTCAAAAATAAAACCACCTCAACCTATGTAATCAGACTCTTGTTATTTTGGTTAAAGTAATATATTGTTTTATTAGCCAGTGCTTCATTATTAAATTCTAGAATGAGAGTTGAGTTTTTGGGTATTTTTGACAACTTTAATATGTTCCCAATCTCCTCCCCTACTGCCCCTTTCTAAACACGTTCCTTCTGTGCTGATCTGTTGTTTCATAGAGGCCAGGTGTCACATTGACTATTTTTTACCAGTGAACTTATGCAGTGACTGACAGCATTCCTTTAACCCTTAGTATCAAACTAATTTTACAGGGCATCCATATATAAAAGCAGTTTGTAGCACAGGGCCACCATAAATAGGAGCAAAACTCCTGAATTGATTTTCCTCTGAAGGACACTATAAACAATTGTTCCATCCCACTGAATTCCTGGCTGTTGAAATTGGGACCAGAAAATGAGAAAAGCCAGAAACTGTACTTAGAGCCAAAATGACTTAGAGATGAACGTTTTACTGCTGTACACTTAACGGAACAAAGTTTATGCAGCGGAGGAGTCATGCTTCTCATCCCAACATTCGGGTTCAGTGCAGGCTGTTCACACCTTTCTTATGAGGATACTATGCGGATTAAACCCCTTCGCTGTTGAGGTTTCGTGGCAGTGAGGGAGAATTGTGTCGTAGGGTGGCGGTGCCAAAAGCCCTGAACATGGGCTGATGAGTGGGCAGAGCTGGAAGCCCTGAGTGTAGTCTAAAGAGATATGGAGCCAGAAACCGTGAGGAACAGCGCAGCAACAGAGAGAAGGAACAAGAGCCCAAAAAGACCAACCTGAAGCTATCAGTTGGGGCATTCTGAACAGCACTCGACCAACCTGAGTCGACGAAATCCCAAGGTGCAGCAGATACTCTTTGTCGGCTGGATGACAAGCTAACCACTCTTGTACATTTGATAAAACTAGCAGGGGAAATGCTATGAGTCCGCCAGCTTTCAACTTTGTTCCTTCACTGCATTTCAAATTCAAATGTACCCTAAAACCTTGTTGTGAAGAGCAGGAACTGTAAGCAAAAGAGAAAGGTTTGAGATAACTAACCATTGCCCCAGCTGAAAGCATGGCATTTCTGTAACCATGGCTCAATAGCCATGTCTGCTCCATGATTGCTTTGAGGCTAGGAGTTGAGTTCCCGATAGTTTCCTCTTGTGTGTCTGGAATTTTAGATCACTGTTGTTCATTGTGAAAGGTTTATTTCTGCAACTAACACTTGAATATACTTAAAGGTTAGAAGCCAGCGGAATAAAGGAGTGCAGGACCTTTCAGGTGTTCCGTATGTTTTAATCTTGTGGTACATTTTGGTGTTTGGGAGTGAAATTCCACGGCACAGGTACCAAGAAATTTTCTTGAATTTGGCTGGTCAGGTCCAGGTCACTACAGACATTGCTCAGCCTCTTAAATATTGCTTAGTGTTTGAATTACCATGGATGGGTTAAAGAAGGTTTGATGGAGCAGATCTTGAAGGAGCTGAACCTGGCTATCTCCATGAGGGATGCCAAGGTATTGCCAATCTCCAGGAGTTCAGGTAACAGAGAAGGAAATCTAGATAGATTTGGAGGGAATACGGAAATATCAAATGACCCTTTGGCCAAGGATGGATCAAGGATGTACAGGTGGTCATGGCAGAGAGGGAGCTGGTAATGTTGTTAATGGAGCATACATTCAGAAAAGCATATGGAGAAGTCTGGGAAGAGATGTTGATGCCTGAAGGAGGCCCTGACAAGGGAGTTGAGTCAGCAGTAGTCAGTCACAGCTGCAGCAGAAATCCTGTGGGAATAAACAGTCGAAAGGTGAGGATGTGGTCTCTATCCTTTGAGTTGGTGAATCTGTTTGACTAAATCATTCTCATAGATCTCTCTCTTTCAGACAATTAGGAACACACAGTTTAAAAGTCTCCGATCTGAATCAGTAAGTGATGAAAACATCCAGATAGATTTGAATTCACTTAATACTGATCAGCCCCGACTGCTTCTTCAATGTGAATGATCAGATTACAAGGATCATGGTAGACCAGGTGGGAGAACGCTATCAGGGAGATGTCTGTCAGTGCTGATGGGGCAATTTGCACACCATGCCGAAGAGACAGGCAGAGCAAATTGCAGCACAGCAAGACCCAATCTTATCAGCAAAGCAGGCCTCAGGTTAATTACATCTAAGGCATACTTCCAGATGGTGCTGGTATTTCAGAAGTGTTGAGCATTTTGTGTGAGGCTGCGTCCAACAATCTCAGAACCCACACCCAGCAGGAATTGATAATCCCATCAAGTGTAACTGCAAAGCCCTCCCACACGAAATAAGAGACAGACCCAATAAAAGTCATGGAAATGCTGATACCTCAGCTAAAAGACTGAACATGAAAGGGATTACCTCATGGTATCCCAGGCAGCAGAGGCTACGTCTGCCACTTGCAAAATCGCAGCGCATGTGAGAAGAAGCCCCTAATTGACTGCATATTTAGCTTAGTTGCATTCTCAGCAGACCATCTACGACTTTCCCACTGCTGGTAGCATAGTGTGGTAGCAAGATCTCGCTCCTTCCCACACCATTTTACCAATCCTTCCATTTCCAGTTCATTCTCAAGGCCCCATAAATCTCTAAGCAAAGTCAGTGTTCAGTTACACATTCCAGTAGTACATTCCACAGTCTTACATTCTCTGTGCAAAGTAGTTTCTCTTGGACTGAATCCTGTATCTCATATTTAACCTGATGTCTATGGACAGAATCTTGTATTTTCATCAGCTATCTCGCTCACTTGCTCAAGAAGTGACAAGACATCCCCACTGATTCTTCTGATGAAAGCCTACTGTATCTTCTCCCAGTCAAGCAGTTTAGACAATACCTGCACCCATCTGAAATCAAGGCCCTGAAGCTGAAATCCAGCACGACAAGGGTTGCTGGCCATTCAAAGGTCAGCAGCTCTCCCAATTGGCAATGCCGTGGAGATGTCTGCTGCAGGAATGGCAATCAAGATTGCAAAGACAAATGCTTTGTGGGAGGGGGAGGTTTATGGAGTTGGAGGTTGCAAAGAGAGGAGGCCAAGGGAGTCAGAAGTAAGGACAGAGTCTGGTAGTCAACAAGCACCCAACAGCCTGATGTCCATGCACTTAATCAAACTGTTTAAGTGCCTTTGAAAAGGCTCTGATCATCTCGCACCCCCCCTGCCCCAAGTGATTGTTAATTGACCACAGGGTCTCAAAATGGCAATGGAGTGGGAAGTTCAAGTTGGAACTTCCCATGCACAATTTAATTACAATGGAGGCAGGCAGATGGTGGGCTTTTGGTAAGGTTCTACCCTGGCTAATTAAGTTGCCTTCCCATCTCTTGGAACAAAAGGTTCCTCCCTGTGTATCTCATTCTAGACCTTTTAATCACTGACAAGTCGGTGGCAAATTAATCATCTCTATTTCTTCATAAATTTGAATAATCTGTTAATCTCTGTGTTATCAAAAGCAACTCCAACTTTTTATCTCACTTTGTATTTTTATCTTTTCACACCAGGCTGTATTTGCAGAGATATCCTGGAAGTATTGTATGGAGGTTAATAAATGATAAGAGAACATAGATAGGTTTGTGGAATAGGCAGACAAATTGCAGATTAAGTTTAATTCAGAGAAATGTGAAATGATTCAGTTTGGTAGGAAAAAAATGAGAGGCACAAAGGGTATAATTCTAAACGGGGTGGAGCAGAGAGAGCTAGAGTTATATGTGACAAATCATTGAAGGTGGGATGCCAGATTGAGAGAACGATCAATAACACATATGAAGTCCTTGGCTTTATAAAAAGAAGCAGAGAGTACAAAGGCGAGGAAACTATAATAAACCTGTATAATACACTGGTTCAATAGGGTACTCTGCCCAGTTTCTGGCACCTTGCTTTAGAAAGGATATGGAGTTATTAGAGAGCGTTAGAAAGGATTCACAAGATGATTCCAAGAATGACTAATTTCAGGTGCATGGTGAAGCTGGATCTGATCTTTTTACACAGGAAAAGGTTACCAGGAGATTTAATAGCATTGCTCAAAATTATGAGAAGTCTGGAAGAAGATAGAGCAAAACTGTTGGAAGGATTCAGATCTAGAGGACACCAGTCTAAGGTGATTGATAAAAGAAGCCACAGCAAAATAAGGATAAACATCCTGATGCAATGATGGTCTAGAATGCACTGCTTGAGAGTGTATTGGAGAGAGACTCAAACAAGGCTTTCAGGATCTAATTGGATAATTACCTGAAAAGAAAGAAGTGTAACACTTTGGAGAAAAGGGAGGGGAATGGAATGAGCTGAGTTGCTTTTGCAGAAAGCTGGTGTGAATGTAACAGACTGAATGGCCTCTTTCTGTCCTCAACCATTTTATTATTCAATGTTTATTGGGTATTTTATCCTGAGTAAATAATCTCATACTTCTTGAATCTTCTTGA